TTTAGTCTTACGTTTATCATAACATTGATTCACTTAATCTGTCAAATCTTCCAACCTTCAAACGTTCTTACAATCAAACGTTCAAACCTTTAAACAATCAAACATACAAACCTTCGAATAACTCATAAACTTCAAACATTCCAACCTTCAAACCTTACAACATTCAAACCTTCATACAATCAATAAACTTCAAACAACCCTACGCAATGGCCTCTGCACCATAATATGTCGTCAAAGAACATTTCAACGGTGAGACATACATTTGTCCCACCGTTGGGTTTTTGTTTAGAGACACATACAACATCCAATTTCTCTTAAACGGGAAAACCAATTTCTCGTACTTCAAAAAACAATTGGAGGACAAACTTGGACGAGGCCCGATGACCCAGATATTTTATCAGAATCCAGTTTTTTTTGGAAACAACCAAATAATTTTTTATAAGGTTGAAGTTCAAGATGACGAGGATCTCCAGAATATGTTTTCCAGACATGTGTATTCTGGGTACGACTCTATTGAGTTGTACATTATGCTGCGAGAGCCTCAGGTGACACAAGTGGTTGATCCTTTGGAGAATGAACAAGCTGAGGTAGATGCAGTTGATGAAGAAGAAGAAGATGACGAGTTAGAGTTTGATGAAATGGTGAATGATGATTCCGATGATGATGGCATACCTAGTATTCCTGCAAACGAGATCTACACACCACCTCCGCACATGACAAACTTCAACATGGGCGGAGATGAACCGTCTACTGACTTATTTTTCAATCCGTATATGCAGTCAGATGAAAATTTAAAAGAGAAGGACAAGTTTCGTAACAGAGAGGAATGCATCAGAGCCATAAAAAAATTCCACATGCTCAACTCGGTTGATTTTAAGGTGGACCGTGTCAACCCAGAAAGGTACAAGATCAAGTGTGTCCACCCTGACTGTATGTTCAAGCTGACTGCATCATACAGATTAAGAGGTGACTGTTGGGTGATAGGTTCCATGACTACCCACACTTGTGTAAGCTCTACCCAATCACAAGACCACTGAAAACTTAACTACGATCTCATCTGTCAAGAAATCCTACCACTGGTCAGCAACGACCCATCTTTGAAGGTGAAAACAATCATCTCCCACATCACCACGGTTTTTAACTACACTCCGTCTTACCGTAAGGCTTGGTTAACAAAGACTAAGGCGATTGAAAAGGTGTACGGAAATTGGGAGGAGTCATACCAAGAACTTCCTCGCTACCTGAATGCACTCAAGACGTATTCTCCGGGTACTGTTTACATTCTGGAAATAGTTCCAGCATACGGCCAATATGGTAGTCTACTAAACGGCAACGAAATATTCAGTCGAGTGTTTTGTGAAGTAGTGAAAAACACAAGAAGGGGGGGTTGAATTGTAAAACTGAAAATCAATGCAATGAACAAGATATTTTTATCCTGGTTCGTTTGATCTCAAACTACTCCAGTCCACCCGTCAAGGTGATTTCGCCTCTCTCCAACGAGGTCTTAATCCACTATATTCAACTGAATATTACAAACTGCTTTAACAACTTCTAAAGCCTTCTTGATGCAAACCACAACCCGATTTGTCAAGGAAACACTTTCTTACAAAGAAGATAAATCTAAGTGTGTGAATGTTTTCTGCAAAACTGTATCACAACTGTGATGTATACACAACTTTAAGCTTAGAAACTAGATTGCTAAATAATGATTGAGTAAGGAGATATGAGGTGTTTAGCAAACTGAGAGAAGGAAGATTATGATCAGCTTTTAGGCGTGTAAGATGTTGGAGAGCATTAGCCAATTCAATCTTCATAGTCTTGTTTATATAGCACTGAGATTGTTGAACGTTGGAGCAATATTCTTGATTCAATGCTAATAACAAACTTTCCTTATTGAGCAGATCTTGTCTGGAATGAGGCCGTTGGTAATAATACGCTTTCAATGCACAATACCGTTACTTACTTAATGCATGTTCTGGCTTGGCTCATTCTGACTCTGCTTAACTGCTGATGAACTGTTGTTTTCTTTATCAGAGTGTTGAGCGCAATTCTGTTCATCAAGCTTCAACATACACGAGAGTTGATCTTCTGATTCTGGTATTCTGATATAGCAACTTCTGATGCTGATGTCAACAATCAATATTCTGATGCTGATTAAGTATGCTCTTGCTTATAGCTATCAGAATTTCTGCAAAGTAGAACGTGATATTTTAGGCAGCAAATAGTTCATACATGAATCATATAAATAATATATCTTTTCACTTTGTTATCATCAAAACTTAAACATAGGGTAGTGGATTCAAACATTGTTCTAACATTTTGGGCATTTCAACCTTGTATCACAGGGTTTGCATCATGCAAACCAATTATACAAATTGATGGGACTTAGTTGTATAGGAAGTACAAAGGTACGCTACTGATGGCAGTTGCACAAGATGGCAACAATAACATTTTCCCCATTGCCTTTGCCCTTGTCGAGGGGGAGACCGGTGGTGCTTGGAGCTTTTTTCTGAAAAATCTGCAGACACACGTGGCTCCTCAACCAGATCTCTGTTTGATCTCGGACATACATGCCTCCATTGAAAGTGCCTACAATAATCCTGCAAACGATTGTCATGATCCTCCTTCTATGCATGTCTATTGCGTTAGGCATATCGTCCAGAATTTCACGAGGGAGATCAAGGACAAAACATTAAGGAAAGCGGTTATGAATGCGGGATATGCATTGACACAAACCACATTCAAATATTACCGCAACGAGATCCGTTTGTCAAATCCGGAAGCCGGTAGGTGGATCGACAATATTCCGGTGGAAAAATGGGCTAGGTCATACGACAATGGCCAAAGATGGGGGCACATGACAACGAATCTTATTGAATCAATGAATGGGGTATTCAAAGGCATACGAAACCTCCCGATCACTGCTTTGGTAAAATCTATGTATTTTAGGATGACTGCGTTATTTGCCAAAAGAGGTGAAATGTGGAATGCAGTGTTGCAATCTGGACAACTATGAAGTGAAAGCTGCATGAAATACATTAAGGCAGAAAGTGCCAAAGCCAACACTCACATGGTTATACGGTTTGACCGACACAACCACAACTTCATTGTGAAAGAGATAATCGACCACAACGAAGGCCTACCAAGACAAGAATATAGGGTCATGCTACCTTCTCGTTGGTGCGATTGTGGCAGGTTTCAAGCATTTTGTATGCCTTGCTCTCATGTCATTGCCGCTTGTGCTCATACCCATCAAGATGCGCTGCAACTTCTGTCAAACATTTACAAATCTGAAACGTTGCTCAACGTTTATAACAACAACTTTCCCTTGGTAGCAAAACCAGATTATTGGCCTGCATACGACGGGGAAATAGTGTGGCACAATGACCAAATGCGAAGGAACAAGAAGGGTCGTCCCAAAAGTAAGCGCATCACAACAGAAATGGACGATCTTGACAAGTTGGAAAGAAAGTGTGGTTTATGCCGTCAGGTCGGACACAATCGCAAAAATTGTCCGAATCAGGCGTCTGCCCCGACCACATAAAAATTGTAATACATAAAATCTTTCCTTAATTATGTTGTAAACATTAGGGTTTTCCGTTAACAGATTTTGCTACAATAAATATTGCGCGTACAAGAAAAATTAATGATATTCCGTCTACGAAATTACAACTGTTAACACAATTTCATCTGACCCATGCATCATCAACATTACACCGCTGTCTGTTTTGACTTCCTCCAACCATACATTAGGTCTTCCTGTCGCATGTGAGGTTGTTGTTCGTTTTCGCTAGATCCTTCGAATTTTTTCCCCCTCCGCAATGTCTCTATCTAACCATCGCATCAACTCCCTCTTCAGACGCTCCATGGAGTGCATGTGCCAGAATTTCATTTTCATCGCAGGTTTCGTGGCGGAGAAGATAACGTAACCATCTCTGCTAAAAATCATGGGTGACGCCATGACGCAAATAACAGAGTAAAAATAAAAATACAGTGCGAGAAAGTGTGCGAAATTTCGAAGAAACGAACGAATTATTTATAAAACAGCATTTTGCCCTAGTTTTGCCCTAGGAGCCAAGTGAGATGGCGCCTCCTCTCACTTTTAAGGAGCATACGCCATCTCACTTGGCTAAAAGTGAAGGGAGGCGCCAAGTGAGATGGCGCCTAGGGAAAATCTAGGGGTGGAGGCATCAAGTGAGATGGCTCCTCCTTTGGAGAGTCATCTGAAATATGATTATTTGCATAATTTTTTCCGAAACACGGTTATTTATGAAATATTATTTTAATACTTGGTTATTGTAAAAAAAAATTCTCCAATTTATTTTACTATAAAGTAGCCTTGTGTATTAATAATGCACAGTTAATTTATAATAATAAATATTATAAATTTAGGTAGATGTAAAAGCAGTTGGAATGAGTTACACTTAATTTTAATAGGTTACATTTAATTTAACATCTATCTATTAAAAAGATAGTCTCTGAAATTCACAACTAAACTCTTTTGTAATTATATTTATTTAATTTAATTTCAAAGGTATTATGGACTAATTATACTTTGTTTGATTTATAAAATTTTAATATTAAATTGTATTCATGTGTCAAGTTGAGAATACATTTCATGTATATACACTTTGTAATTAAATTTTTACGTCTTACCCACTACTTACCATTCATATTAATTGTCTACATCAATGATTTCTCGTTTTCCATGCAAAATTGAAAAGCTACATTTCAAATTTCAATATCATTTTCAAATTTTACTATGCTCAATGCATTGAGTATTCACATGATACGTTAGAGTTTGGAGTGACACGCATTGTTTGCTGAAATATTAAAATCACATTGGTTTCAACGAATTCTATTTATTAGAATTGTTGCTTCTTCTACCTTCACTCTTTTTTGATGTCCATAAAACTTAAATGAATATGGTTCATTTTCCTAAAACCGAAACTAAACTTCTATAATCTTCCATTACTTTATTCCCCTTAAGAGATGGCGCGTTAGAAGAAGAGCATGGCCAAGATACATGCGACTTCCCTGGTGGTGGTAGAGTGGATGAGATGGTAGAGATGGATGACAAGTGACCTTTTGTTTGCAAAGGATATGATGGTTGCGGACGAGATACACATTGGTGGTTGTTTTATTTCTCTCTTCTTTTTTATTTTTACTGATGGTGTTCGATCTGTTTGTGGATGTTTGAAGGCGGCACCATGGAAGTTATTTGAAGAGGGAACAATGACAGTGAGGGAGAAAGACGAGGTCAAAGAGATGAGAGATGTTGCTCGTATGACGGCCTCCATCATGAGATGAGTCATCTTATTCTTTTTCCATTTTTTTTTCCAGTGTATTTTTTATGAAATAGGTTTGTGATTGGGTATGTTGTTGTTAACGAAAAATGATACAATATGTGTAAATGATTTTTTTGGTGTTTTTAGTTTTTATAAGAGAAAAGAAAAGGGATTTAGCATGGCAGTGAAGGAAATGATTTGAGCATATGTTATTGATATAAAGGAAATGATTTCATTTGAATAACATGATCCATAACATGGATGGATTGTTGGTTCTTTGGCAGCAAATTGTTAGTTTTTGTTGTACCCCAATTTTTGTCCCTAAGATTCCTCTATCATCTCATATCAACTCAATCACAATAAGGTCACACTAGGATTTGGTTCTTCTCCCTATCTTTAGGTTTGCTCATGAGGAATCACCACATTTATATATTGTGATCATCTATGATTTGTATTGATTAACTTTTAACTAACAAATACAATGAATATTTGCTCTAATTGATGATATTATAGGTAAGAGCACAACACATTTTATCAATTTGATTTATAGGTTCATGACTTTATTTCAATGTCTTCTTCAATAAAGTTTCATTCAGATTCAAGCTTCATCATTTAAGATAATTTGAAGTAATATCATGACAAAGTCTACTATGATTTATCATGTCTCAATTTGTCAAAGAAAATCAAAAGATACAAGAGTTGATTGAAGAAGTTTGACCTAATTGGACAAGTTCTTGACTTCTTGGTCACAAGTGCATAACTCTCTCAATTCTTAATATTTGGAGTTGGTTTTTGTTGCTATGGGTTCTTATTATCATCCATAACAACTCCTATTCACATGGTAAGAGTTATTGTGCAAGGAAGATTGTCAAAATTGAAAGGGTTTTCCAAAACATTTTGTTGCTCTAGGAGCTAAGGTTTTGAACTTCTAAGGGCTATATCTTGCTCAGCTTTTGGTATTTTTGAGTGATTCCAAAGACATGCTTCTCTTTAAAGGGTTATAAACTAATCACTTCAAAAGTTTCAAGAAAATTTTATGTGAAAGATGCCTAATGATGAAGAAAGATTACAAGTCCTCTAGATAGGCCATCAAATTCTCTTATGTGACTTCAAAAGATCATAACTTGGTCAATTTTTATCTCCTCGAGCCTATTATTTCTCCACATTTATCTTAAGAATGTGAATTTCAACTCTTATTTTATGTGCAAAGCTTGAAAATAGATGGAAGATGCCCTAAGAATGCAAGAGATTATAGGTCATCTCATGAATTTTCATCAATTTTGTAAGACCATAACCTTTTCAATACTTGGTATTTTTGATTGATTCAAGTTTCATAATGCTCTTTGGGAAGTCTACTTCAAGATAGTATCATTGGTCAAAGCTAAATTTTGGAGAAAGGCCTTGTTTGGAATCAAAACACTATAGGACATTTTTGAGAAAAACATAGAATTTTTCTAAGTACAAAAAGTCAGCATCTTTTTCTCAACTTTGACTCATCACAACTCCTAGTTCAAGTATCCATTTGATCTTATTCCTTGCACACTATAAAACTTGTGACCTTATATTTCAATTGCTTTAAGAATCATACCTTGAAACTGACTTTTTCCTCCAAGTTAGAATTTGAAATGCACAATTCAGTTTCTAATCACTAAATGTTTGGGCGTTTTTACTTCTAATCATGTTTAACAATATTCCAGAAGTAATTAGCACCTTAAAATGCAAGTTTTGGTTGAGTTTTGAGCAAAATATGAGTCACACTTTTCATGCTTGCAACTTCACACGATTTCCCTCCAAACTTCATCATTCCACATGCTTGAGCATCCCATTTGCTTCCCTATAAATAGAGGGACATATTGCATTCATTTCCTTAAGCTTTTGATATACAATTGACCCTTATTCATATCCCACACGAACTCTGAATTTGAATTTCTGATTTCTTGCTTTCTCACTCCAAAACACCAAAAGCTCTATTCAGTTAGCTTCATTGAACTTCTCTGAAGCTGACCACACTCTCACCTTCAAGAATTGTAACCTATATTGATCTACGGAAGTCTAATTTCAGAGTCACCTTGTGCTACTTAGCTCAGGTAGATTTCTTGGTCAAATCGATCCAAATAAAAGACTAATCTACTCTCTGCATCCTTACGATCTCATGCTTTTTACAATTTATGATTTCATTGAGATTTGAGTGAGATATTCCAGAATTTCCTGCTCGCTATTATTTTTGCATTTTCTCAATTTAAGCTTTGCTCAGTTTATATAAATTTGGCGCAATGGTACCATTAGAATTGTCTTGAAGAGACGAATCTAATGGTACCGGTCTGGTCCTCTAATTTTACAGATTGAGGAATCCCAATCTAGGGCGTCTAGAGGTTGAAGACGACCTACGTGTCGTGTTTCAACCAATGAAAGCGTGACATGTGATTTTTTTGAATTCAAACCAGTGTGTTTGCTTTATCATATGCGCGCTTTGAGAGCCCTTGGATCTGATTACTTTCATTAGTCAGACTTCATCCAACGCGTCAGAATTTTAGTTGCTTTTAATATTTAAAACGTGATCCGGTGCAATTTCCAAAGTTGACCATGATATGCGCAGCGTGCTTGATCCTTTGAATCTGATTACTAGCGCATTTTGAATCTCATCCAATGGTCCATATTTTTTTGTTTGTTATTTTATTTTCTGATTTTTTTATTTTAATTGATTTAAACTTAAAAAAATCATAAAAAATTCATTTCTGACTAAAAATTATTAAAAAAATTCACAAAAATATTTTCAAATATTCTCTTTCTGATTTTTATTTTTTCATGATTTTATTTTCATTTTTTATATTTTTTATAATTTTTCCTTTATTTTGACTTGTTTTCTAATTATTTAAAAATACTTTTTGATATTTTTAAATTCTGAAAATTTTTATAAAAATCATTTTACTCATTTATGATTTTCTAAAATTTTTATAGAATTTTATCTTGACTTCTACTTTTTTTTATCTTTTTCTTCACTTATTTGAGTGATTTTAATTAGTTTAAAAATATTTTTCTATTTTAAAAAATTACCAAAAAAATTATAAAATATTTGAGGTCAACTCTGATTTTTCTGTGATATTTTTAAACTTTTCTTTGATACTTTGAAGATAGATTACTATTTTACCTTTTATTTTCATTTTAAAAACAATTAAAAAATCATTTTTCACTTTTTTACTTTATTCATTAATTACAATTTATTTTTTAAATATATTCTGGCTATGTGATTGTTGATCAGAAACTTCATTAACATCATTGGATCTTGTGTGTTGAGTTTAACTCCACTAAAATGGATGGATGATTTTAATGATAGTTTGATTAAATTTTTTATTCAAATGTGTCCCCTCCCTCTTCATCTCATCCTCTTCTCCTTTGTACTACACGTTGTTAGAGGATGATCCACATTTCATCCCTCCAAATATATGGTACATAGATTTCTATTCACCGGCCTCAAAATAGGTGCGACTTCTATATAAGTCCACTTACAATTGCTTAACATAGCGCTGAATTTTGTCCAGATTCGAGAAATGTTTGCGAGCCCACACATGTTTAATTTAAAACCTTTGACCCAATAATCTTGAGGTTCATTTTTAGGAGGCTTTGGTCTTATCAATCCTCTAATGATTCTTCATAAATTTTGGAACTAAGTGAATCATTTAAACATTGTTGATCCTTTATTGTTGCCTTGAGATTTTGAAATGAATGATATACCTGACAAAAAGTAAATGAAACTTTTTGTTGAGAGGATTTGATTTTATCAATCTTCTAATGAGTTTTCAAATGCAAGTTTCAAGAAGGTCGTTCAACTAACCTCTAATTTTTAACAATTGACTTTATTTTATGCTTTTTACTTTAAGCACATTTATTTTAGCATTTTTATTTCATGTTATTTCCATTTTTGCTCATTTGAGCATTTATCTTTATGTCATTTTTATTTTTCTTACTTGAGCTTTTAATTCCTTTTTGAAGATACCTAATAATCAACTTGGACCATAAAAAACTTTGATCTCACTTGGACTATTGGGTTACTATCCTTGGCATTTTGGAATTATGGACTTCTCAGACTTAGGAGTAGAGACCTTGACCTACCTTGAGATCTTGTGACTTCTATTGCTATTTTGTCTGGAGTTCTTAGGGTTTACCCTGAGACATTGGGTTGTTTGTTTTTCTTTGTGTGCAGGTTATTCTGATTATATGCTTTGTCTGTGATTGGGAATTCATCTATATACAACCGTTACTCTGCCCAATTTTTGTGAATACTTGATGCATTTGAAGCTTAGTTTTCTTAAGAGGTTTTATTATCTTTGCTTGTTTGGTTTCAAATCTAAAGGATGATAATTCTACATTGACTCATTATGTCAAGTGTTGGCTTCTTATTGGTTAGATGGTTCTCTTCCCTAATTTTCACCTTATGCTTTAGGATAGTCCCTTCATCTCCTCCCACCTTCTTTAATTTCAAAAATCTTCTCCCTCTTTTTCAAAACTATTCTTGTTTTCCAAACTTGAATCGCTTTCATAATAAACTTGGACTTAGGTCCATGCATTTTTGTTGTACCCCAAAATTTGCCCTCTCATTTCTCAAGGCATTTCTCACAAGGGGTTCCCAAAAATATTCAAGCTTACACAAATATATTTGGATTTTTCAGCATTAAGATTAAAGAGGAAATTGCTAAAAGGGGCAAAACAGATGAAAATACTCTTTTTGGCAAAATTGAAGGAAAAACAAGTTCTCTTCGATTTTACATCCTTCGATTAGGTACTTTGGCTCCTTCGATGCAGGCTTTGGTTGCATCCTTCGTTTGGGCGCTGGACTTCATTTGGGCAAGTTCATTTCCTGCTTTGTTTGGGTACTAGACTTCATTTGGACGTTTTATTCTCTTTGTACAAATCTTTTCTTTGGCCATATAGCATCTTTCCTGCGTGTTAGCCAAGATTTACAAGGCATAATTCCTTACCATGCTAGCATGCACAAGGCCAAAGTCACCCTTTGAAGCAACTTGTTGTAA